CATTTTATTCAAATCCCACTTAGATTATTAATCATCCACACTTCATTGTTGGTTTTACATTCAATTTGCCCATGGTCATCTCATGGAATGACATACTGTGCCAGTGAGAACTATAACATTACCCAGACAATCCAACATAATTGAATAAATATTTAGTACAGTATATACGAGAGCATGCAGACTATTTTGAACCTCTCCTTTAATGTTCTGCTATGCTTAGTGTGTGTTGTACTCTGATTTGTCATGTGGTTGAATTACAAACCTGTTAAATATCCCATTGTATGTTTCTGTTTATACTGAACATTACTGGTACAACTTTTATCTTTTACTATGGATGTATATCCCATCGTACCATGAAAAGGTGAATGATCTCCTTGGTGTTAAACACTTTCCATCAAACATTATTATTGCTGTTTGATTATGTCTAGTCAAGGTTTACAGGTCTCAAATTCCTAACTGTGGAGGTATATAAGGTATGTAGAGAGATTTTGTTTCCAGATAAAGTAATTTATTAAAAATTTAATGCATGCTACAGAAATAATGACTTTGAAACAAGATATGTGTTTTATTCCATGAGGCATCAGATACTGAAAGGACCATAAGATGTTTTATATACAGTGAAATATATGTAATAAAAGCTTAAATGTTTATATGCATAGTATATATATTTTTTTATTTACAGTCATATACTGATCCCAAGCAGACTACAAAGGGTGAGTAATAAATGCATTTATTAATGTAAATACATGTAATTGTTATTCTTGTTATAGCACACGAAATGAGGTACAAAACAATAAAATTATATACTGTACAACATTTTAAACATTTTTAATTAAAGACAGATAAAAATAAACTATGAAATCAGTTTAATTTTTTGCATGTCCTCATATTGTTGAGTCAAGTTATTTTTCACAGTAAAATATATACTATAACACGTTAAAATTAAATTTTACCATAAAAATCTATAATGCTGCAAACATTGATTGTGCGAGAATCGGCAATAGAAACTTAAATACCTGTTTGTTCAAACTGTACTAGCGGATTACAGATTAGGTAAGCCTTACCTAACCCAGGGTAATACAGGCCAACAATATTTAATTCACAACAAGCTTGGAATGAATAACGACATTTTGGTCCATCCTCGGCCACTATGAAGTCATGAGACTGAACAAATACATAATGTTCAGGGTAGCCAGATACAGAATACCTACAGTAAACTGCTTAGTTTTTTCCCTGAAGGATACTTTAACCAAAAAAATACACTATATTTTTCTACAAGTAACTTATACCACAGCAGTGCATTTTTTTTGTGTGCAACACAAAGGTAAAAATTAACAATATAGTAATCTCTTGACTGGACAGACACTGAATTATAATTGTGAATTGTCAAGAGAGGTTATGATCGCTACTTGGAAAACTGCTAGTATGTTTGCTGTTTGACAAATTATAACTAGAAACTTTCATGATAGGGTAGTGGGGTAAATTGGAGTAAACTTGCAAAACCAGTTTCCATAAACATGAAAACTACAAGTACACTGAACACTACCATGCAAGTTCATTGCAGTGTAATGTGTGTAGTTGAAAGCATCCATTTTTCTAACAATGTAAATTAAGAGAAAGTAATACACTGTTAGAGTACCATACCTATGTTTGTCTGGTAGTATTCACAGCAAGTTTAAAGTTTGTTTTGTGTATCTTTACCTTGAGCAAAATAACGCCTCTAAGCTCTATATGCTTTGTACTGTACATCCAGTATCTTGAGGCGCTGATCCTTTATGTAACCTATGCTAAATATATCCAGCATCTTAAAAGTTTGATATTTCTTCAACAAATACCTTAAAATTTTTACTTGATAGCGACTAGTGAATAAATATTACAACATTGGAGAATAGGCTATGTAACTTGTCTTTTGAAGGGTGCCTCGATTCTGGTGAAGGACTCTTGATTCAAGAAACTGGAGCTACCACCCCCTTCGATCAAACTTGTTTAACTCCCATTCCCAAGGTGCTGTTTGACCCTTGTTGGTTCAGCATTTCCCCAGGAATATAATAAAAATATGCCACCATACCTGTTCACATATACCATTTCCAAGAAATACATCTTTCATACTTATGAGAAAATGAGGAGTAGGTAGATTCATTACTAATATCTTTTTACCATGGATTCTAGCATCTTTGTGATCTTATGGACAGAGAGGAACTTTGGTAACATGTATCAATACCTGTGATGCTATTTTTTTTTTTTAAATATAAAACTTTTCAGTAAAAATGTACACTCACAATGAATATGTAATCTAAGACTGTCAATGACTTGAATTACCATTGTGGTTACAAAGTTTTTCTTCCATTTTTCTAATTCTCTATACGTCTTAACAGTGCTGTATGACCATACAGGTTTAGTGCCTATTTCTTAATATAATAATAATGCATCTTTAACTTTGTTTCTTTTCCAAGTATCCCATCCTAGAAAAATTTTCCATTCATTTGAATCTTTAATATTTTATTATTTTATCATCATTATGGGTAATCACTAAGCTTCTGCCATAAGGTTTAAATACTATACCTTTAAGGTTTAAGAAGATTCTTGAAGGCTCAGCTGAAACACTTAAGAATTCTATTGAATTTTTGGGTGAATTATGAAGCAGTCATCAGCTGTTTGCAGCGACAAACTAGAATGTGGTACGAATAAGAACTGCTCTCGGTGAGCACACGTACCTGGTAAGCAAGATTACATTTTTATTACAGTATTGTGTTATTGTATCAAAAAGTATTAAAAACAAGCGCTAATCCTGTATAGGCCACAACTCTAATGTTTTTCTTGCTTAACTGGTAAAGACTAAGAATAGCAAAATATGTAATACTTATCAAAAGGATAGTGCAGAGATGGAGAGAAAGGCACAGACCATTAGGTGGCACTGAAGTGTGATTCAAAGCGCGCACACACACAACACACACACACACACACACGAGATCAGATTTAGCAAGAACTACTAAAGCTTTAGCTTGAAATGTCAAATAACAGAAGAGCATCTGTAAATTATTGTGACATATTGTAATGTTTCAAAAGTTATTTTCTATGTAATGTCATTGCTTCATCTAAGTAATACAAAATCAATACTATATACTGTATACATTATTTCTGGTAGCAAATACATGCCCCTCATATTCAGTTTATAATTTTTAAGGCGGAAGATCGGGTTAAGCTCTTACGTCTCAAGAATATGGCTTAATAACATAGCCTACTACATTTCAAATTGGTGTAGAAAAAAAAAATTGAGCAGATACATATTGTCTCAAGTCATGTAGTTGGAAGCAGCTAGAAATACACTAATTCCGTGAGGTAAAAATGGTAGTCGAGTAGCCTGTACAGTTCAGTAAAACGTTTGTGTTGAAATTGTGTAAGTAATGAACAGTACTATCTGCTGCATCATGAGTGGATAATAAATAAATTTTGTTTTTATGAGGGATGATCTTCATGCTAGTAAAGGGCTCTTGAGTAGACCCTCTATTTAATGAACTAATATGGGAGTGGGTGAATAGTAATGGCAGTGGCAGTGGACAGAGACTAGATCATTTTGCCATAATCATTACCATAATGGACAAATCTGTAATCAACAGACTTTGTCAGCTGTTTCTAAATCAACCGACCCAGTGGATTTTGTCCTGTATTTCTGAAGTTCATTAAACTGAGGGTTTACAACTGGGACAAACTCCCATTCCCAAGGCTCTGTGTAATCCTGTACACAGGTTTAGCAATTCCCATTAATATAAATATCATAGTGAGGTGTAATGTACTTCTTTCAAAACACTTATTTGTAATGAAATATAAACAGACAATTAAAATATTCTTTAGATTTACTCTTGTGCATATAAATTATATATTGCCTGATTTATAACAAAAATAAAAAAAATTGTACTAAAGTATTTTAAAATTTAATTCTTATATTATAAATGGTAAACAATACTAACAAACTGATGATTAATGAATGTGTGCAGCACTTAGGTATCTCCATTGTCTAAACACTGTGCAGCAGGCTTGTTCAGTTTAATACTTGCAATTATAACACTGGAGACAATAAAATAGAGATACATATTTTTGAAGTTATCAGTCCCTAGCCTTTGTAACAGGTGGCCAGTCCTTTAGCTAAGGGACTGACCACCTCAAAATGACCTCTCCATGTCTACTGTATCCATTTTTTTAATCACCTGTATTCTACTAAAGTTTGCTGCACAAACGAAATGTTTCGACAACAAAGACATACTTACGTGTTGCATGTGCGACTTGCTCATTATCTTAATTTAATTTTGCTTTTGTTTTTATAAGTTTCAATCTGCTAATTTAAGGATTAATCTGTTATGCTGCCAACTGGTTTAACATTTCCCCATGAAAATAAATACAGTGGTCCCTTGAGTTATGACAATTCTGAGTTACGATTTGCTCTCAAAGAAATTTGGTTTTGAGTTGATACCTTATGTATATGATGGCTGGCAGGTGTGGATGGGCCTCAAGGCAGGGTGGTAAAAAGGTCTTAAATGGAGTGATGGTGGGAGGGAGTGAGACCATACATGTCTCCTACCATCCGCATCTGGTACAAGTGACAACGAGAGTGTTAATATTAAGTCTACAGTTCTTTACCAATCTGCCTGCCTGTTCTTCCTTGCCCTACCTGCTGTGTATGCTGTGGTCCGTCTGCTTGCTATCTTAAATGGAAAGATGGCGAAGGGTGTATTGGGAGTGGGAGGAAGGAATTTTTGGGTAGGGATGAGGGAGGGGAGACCGTACATGAACCCGATGTGGACTGGGAGACAGCAACAAGTGTAATTGTTAAGTTTACAATTCTTTACCAATCTGCCTGCCTGCCTGCCTGCCTGCCTGCCTGCCTGCCTGCCTGCCTGCCTGCCTGCCTGCCTGCCTGCCCTGCCTGCCTGCCCTGCCCTGCCCTGCCCTGCCCTGCCCTGCCCTGCCCTGCCCTGCCCTGCCCTGCCCTGCCCTGCCCTGCCCTGCCCTGCCCTGCCCTGCCCTGCCCTGCCCTGCCCTGTCACTTCACCTGGGCAAAAGCCTATGAAAGACAGGTTTACTCTGCTGCTGGATGCCAGTGCCTCTGGATATTTCAAACTGCAGCCTATACTTATCTCTCAGAAAACCCCCAGTGCTTAAACAAAAATAATTCAAGGGAAGGTTGGGTATATTCTGGCATCTTGGAATGAACTGCCATAATACCATGTACTTTGGGGTTTGAGTTACGATATTTTGGAGATATGATACATCTGGAATGGATTAATATCATAACTTGAGAGACCACTGTAAATTACTATGTAATGAAGTACACATACCCATATAGAAAATTATTATTACAAAAAAACACCAAACCCATGTGTCTCACAATGCAACCCACTGAGAAAAATAACTTGAGGGTTGGAGGACAGGTGTAAACTACTTATTCCTCATAACAATACAAGATGTATATACTGTACAGTTTGTATTATTCCTAAATTTTTGTCTTGCAAGAACCTATTCCATGTTAATGTCAGTATTAAAAAAGAACTTCATTTTCATTACAGCAATGCAGCATGACCCACGTGGATTTAGAGCTTCTTTTTAATATAAAAATGCGTGTAATTAGTTGGATTATTACTGGAAGTCTACCATCAATAATAAAACCCTAAAGAAAAACCCTTTGCATCATATTTCAACAACACAAGTTTTATCACTTTGCAAAATACAGTAGAGCCTCTCCTCACTTAACGACGGAGCTCTGTTTCTAAGACCACATCGTTAAACGAATTCGCTAAGTGAGGAGCATACTATAATGGTAGCGAGTTTGTGTCAACCATCTTCGATATTGTTTTAATGTCACCTCTGCACCATTTATAACATTTCTGGTATATTTTTAAATGTTTATACAGTAGTGTACTGTATACTGAAATAAAAAGAATAGAGGAAATCAGCTCTTAATATACACTTAGGTATGAATACTGGTCAGAGAGCCAGTCGTTAAGTCCGAGGTGTTGGTAAACGAGTACGTCACTAAGTGAGGAGAGGCTGTACTGAAGTACCTCACCTAATTTTTTTTGATGTTATGACATGCATAAGTGAGCCAAGCCAGATGCGATACTAGCCCACTGAAGGAAAGGGACCTTAAGCAGAAACAATTTTTGAGTTTTTCTTTGAGTACAACATACATTTAAATTATTAAGATAGCCCATTTTCAATACAAGTTGAATTTTCTAATTATTTTTTAAGTATATTCCTGTACTTAAGCTTTAAAAATGCTCAAATGCTCAAAATATAGGTACTCGGTAATAAAAATGCGAAAAGTGGCTTCCCTTGAGCTGCTTAAGACCCTAAGCAGTTTCTTAGTCTGCTTGTGACTAACACCAGCACCAAACACGATAATACTGTGTATAGCTCTACAACCATTATTCTGTTGTGTCATCACTCAACAACATAACTGAATCTGTGCTCCCTGTATGATGTTTACTCTTGAGGCGTGTCTTTTGTTTTTTACGTTCTTTGGGCCTCACTGATTGGCAGGGGGAACTAGAAGTTGATGCTGGGGAGGCTGAATATGGTGGTGGGGAGACAGCTTGAGGTTCCCTCGAGTCAGCTGTATCACTGGGACAAACAGCAAAAGAGGCAGTAGTTTCTGGTGTTAAAGCAAATCCACTGCTCCTGCTTGACTTTCCAGTAGTTCTATGTATGTTTCTCATCACTAGTGACTTCACAGCCCTGGCTGGTGATGAAGGTAGAGGTGATGCTGATGTGCTCCCTTTCTTACTTGTTGCCATAAACTTTGCTGATTTCCTCATGTTTGAGGTTAATGATAGGGATCTTCTCTCTTTGGGTGAAGTCACTGAATCTGGATTGTCTCTAGACGTGGAGGATGGAGATGCTTGAGACATCCTCCAGGGTGTTCTTCGTTCTGAGGATCCAGAGAAACGCATTCGCTTAGGTTTTGTGAGAACTCTCCTGCTGCTTGATAAGAGCGACCTAAGACGGTGCTGACCCGACCGATGCTGACTTCCAATGCTCTCTGCGGAGAAGACATTGATGATTATCTGGATTATTAATTCTGTATACACTGTACACAAAAAATGGCACTAAATTAAGAACTTCAAATAATCCCAAATATGCATATGAACATATAACCACTAGCAACTTTGGCTACACATTCTTATTTCTCAACTACAGAATTTCCATTAAATAGTTTTTTACAGCTGTTTCCCACTAAGGTAAAGGGACTAAAATAGGAAATATATTGACCATTATTCAATAGCACTTTTGCTGTGTTTTAGAATAATGCCAAGTTGATGAATAAGATGCCTGTCTTATCCATGAACTTATCAGTGTTATACACCTATGATCTAAAGATACTTTTCTGACATGTCAACACCATGGAATCATGGTACAAAGAATATTAAGATTTTACATTGATAAATCTATGGCCCACCTTATTGGCATAACCTGCTTCCACTCGTGAGTCCCACCCAAATGTGACTGCTACAGCTTCGGCACTGCTCCACTCTTACTGGCTCTAATACATACTAGATTGATGATGTGTCTACAATTATTGACCTGACCTACTTATACTAGTGGGTCCTACCCACGTCACCATAATATTACTCCACCTTTTCCACTGGCTCCACTATAAAAGGTCCATACCTATGGTTCAGTATTAGACTGATAAAAGCTCTGGTGGCTAAAGCTCTCGCTTTACATGGTGAGGGCCTAGGTTCGATTCCCAGCCAGGGTAGAAACATTGGACATGTTTCTTTATACCTGTTGTCGCTGTATAGTCCTTGTGGCTTAGCGCTTCTTTTTGATTATAATAATAATATACCTGTTGTCTGTATTCCCCATCAGTAAAATGGGTACCTGGGTGTTAGTCGACTGGTGTGGGTCGCATCCTGGGACACTGACCTAATTTGCCCGAAATGCTCAGCATAACAAGGGGCTTCTATACAGTAGTATGTCATTGATGTCAGCTAGGCCTGTATACCATGTACATGTAGTAAATAAAGATTATTATTATTATTATTATTATTATTATTACTAATTCATAGTCATATGCACCAAAAGTTGTCTCGAGTCATGCTATGAGGTCAAAACAGCAGGGAGTTGACTGATTAATTACAAATCACCGACAGGTGTGACTTACATGTTCCAACAGCTGTGGGTCGGCCATTTCATCATCAACAGCAGCTATGAGTCGGCCGTTTCATCAACAGCAGCTGTGAGTCAGCCGTTTCACCAAGAGCAACTGCAAGTCAGCCGTTTCATCAACAGCAGCTGTGAGTGGGTCTTTTCATAATAGCAACTGTGATGGCCGTTTCACAACACAGCTGCGAGTTGGCTGTTTCATCAACACAGCTGGGGATTTGGCTTTTTCCCAAAACAGCAGCTGGAGTCACCGTTTCATCAACACAGCTGGGTCGGCCGTTTCATAATTGCAGCTGCGAGTCCCCTTTTCAAAACAGCAGTGAGATCAGCCTTTTCTCATCAACACAGCTGTGATCAGCCGTTTATCTCAACAGCACTTGAGTCGGCCTTTTCATCGACCTGTGATCGCATTTCATCAAAGCGCTGGGTCGGCCGTTTCAACAGCAGCTTAGCCGGCGTTTCAAAATCACAGCAGCGTGAGTGGCTTTTCCCCAAAAACACAGCTGTAAGTGGGCCGTTTCTCAACAGCGCTGTGAGTCGGCCGTTTCATAAAGCTTGAGTGGGCCTTTTTCTTCATCAACAGCACTGTGAGTCACCCTTTTCATCATAAACAGCAGCTGTGAGTGGGCCCATTAAAACACAGTTTGGAGGGGGTTTTTCTCAACAGGTGTGGTCGCTACTTCTCATCAACGATGTGAGTTAACTTTTTCAACATCTTAAGACTGTTTCCAGCCTGTGGACGAAGAGGGGGGGCCGGGGCCCAAAAACTCGACCCCTGCAACCCCAAAAATAGGTGAGAAGAGAGTTTCATAAAAAAGCTACGAAAGTATTTACGGCTTTCCCAAAAAGTACATGAAGTGTACAAGTGATTGAAAGGCCCCGGGTAATCAGAATATAAGCTAAGCTAAGATGGTCCATTTTTTGTGTGTAAAAACAAGAAATGAGTCAACACTGCAAGACAAAATATCAATTTAGAACACGCCACATATCTAGTAAACCACAGATGACGTTTTCTTTTTGGGGGGTTCCTAACACGCGGTTTTTTGGGGGGTAAAAAACAGGTCAGCCTCTTGGTCAGCTGCTCAGACCTCCAAATTTTGAAAAGGATTTTTCGGATTATTTTTCAGTAACTCGACAACTTTGCAACTATGGCGAAACCATAGTCGTAACTGGTCTACAATAAATTGGTCTCTTTGTAATATGGCCTCTTCGGGGGGGCCTTGGCGGGTGAAGAGGCTCTTGGTCTGGGGATTTGACCTGCTTTTTCTTCCTCAGACCGAACCTAATTACCCCCCAATCTCCCCTCCCCTTCCCTCCCCCCCTTTTTCCATTCCCCTCCCCCCTCCCCCCCTCTCCCTTTTCCCCTTCCTTTTTTTGGCCTTTGGGATTTCTCCCACAGGACGCTAGTTCCTGGTAGGGGAAAGGGACACCGGGGTCCCCCCATTCCTTTGAGGTCTTGGCGGTGGCGTAGTTTGCCATGGAAATTGGATGCCGGGGAATGTCCCGATCCCTCTCGGGTATCCCGGAGTGCTTTGGGTGTCTTTGGGGACGGGTGCATTCTGAAAGCCCCTTTCGGATTCCGGGGTGGTGGCCAAGGAGGTATTTTTGTGGCGGTATCCGGTGCCCTCTTTTTTGCCCACCGAGGTAGCTGGCGATGTGGGTTGCACCTGGATTTGGTTTATGGCATGAAGGGTAGGGTTTTGGAGGGGTTTCCCCATGCTGCATCTCCCCAAAAGCGGTGCTGAGGTCCTTTGGGGCGGAGGGAGATTTCGGGCCCCTTTCATTCCTCCTGGGAACTATTCCTCCCCCGCTCCCCCCTTTTTTCTTTTCTTTTTTTTTTTTTATTTTTTTTTTCTTCTTTTTTTTTTTTTTCTTAAAAACAAAAAGCAAAGGAGTAAAAAAACATGGAAAACCCAAATCCATAACCCCAACCCCGGGGCCCCCTTTTTGATCCGACCCCATTCTGACCCTGCCTTGTGCTTAGACCATTTTTTTGGGACACTCCGATCCCCCGTCCTTTTGCTGGTGCTTTTTCCCTCACCCGCTTCGGTCCCGGGGCTTCGACTGACCCCTTTCGTTTTGTCTGAACCCCCGCTCTCCTTTGACTTGCTTCCGGCTTCTCCCTCACAGGGGCAATTTTCGAATCGCCCGCCCATTTCACCCCGGACCAACTCGGTTTCCTATCCTAACCCGCGAAATTTCCCCTGTGATGCCCTTCGTTACCTTCCCATTCTATGGGAAAAACCGAACGTAAAGCACCCCTTTCCCCATGCTCAGTTTCGGCCCAACAAGGGACTAAATTTTTTCTTTAAGACCGACTTCTTCTTCTGCCCCCCCTTTTGACCATGTAATGGCAAAGCGCTCCTGCGTCTGTTGGTAGATTTTCTTTCATGCTCCACGGCGGTCCGCATGTCATGTCCAAATGTCCCCCAAGCTCATATTTTCTCTCCTTTCGAATCGATACCTCTATCACTATTGAAAAAACATCTTTCTCTCAATTCTGCCCCATACCATAGCCCAAACAGTTTTCCCCGCATGGGGCAATGACATTTGAACAGCTGGAACTCCGGGATCCCCCAAACCCTCAAAGTAGACACTTAGTCCTTCCTCCGGGGCGGAGCTTACCCTTTGCATGGGGCTGTTTAATTTTTGACAGCCGAGAACCCCCGTCCTTGTATATGTCGGGGGCACGGTTAAAGTTCAAAGGGGGTGATCCCTACACCGAAACAGTGTGGGAAAATGCGGGGTTTTTGGTCACCCAGCGAATTTTTTTCAGATTTGGGCTGAATGCCCGTTGTGGTGCCGACCATTCTAAAACATTTTCAGTAACCTCCATCTTCCTTAAATTGTAATGAAGCTCACCCTTTGTACTCCCGCGTTGCCGGGTTATTAAATGAACTGAAATCCGTTGTCAAAGGGAAAAGGTCTCCCTTTTGTATAGCAGTTACTATCTCCCCCCAAGGGAGACTACCCCGTTTTTTCTTTTCTCGGTTAAAACTCCCCCCCTTTGGGGTCCCATTTTTGGGCCCCTCCTCTGTTGCCCCCCTCCCATAGCCACCCCGGCACAAACCCTTTTGTGTCCTTGGCTTGATGTCCCGACTAAACTCAGTCTGTTCTCACATCTTCGGTCCTTCCTCACAAGCCCAGTACGCAAGACCTCGTACACAATAATCCCAATCGCCCCTCACTTTCAGAAGTCCAAAAAACCCACATTCTCAAATCTTCTTTCCCCCTTCCTTTCCCCTTCTTCCACCCCCACATTTTTCCCTTTTTCCAGTCCTGTCCCTAGTTTTCCCCCCTTCTTCTGGCTCTATTACAAGTGTGGAGATTCACCCCCCTCCTCGTACTATGCCTCCCCCCCCCCGCCCCCTCCCAAGTTTCCCCTTTTTCTGCCCCCTCCCAGGTTTCGCCTCTTTGCCCCCCCCCCCCAAAATTTATCTCCAGTCCTTCATCTTCCTCCCCCTCTACTTTGGTACAGTCCTTTTACTTTCCCAATCTTTACTCACCCTCCTCCTATCCCCAATATGGTCCCCCATACATCTTTGAATTCGAAAACTTGAAGCCAATTCAGAATATATTGCAGAGACAAAACCCTTCAATGGACATGTTCATTTCCCTTTTTCCTTCTCTTCCCTCCCCTATCTTCAAAACCCCATTCTTTGAAAACGCCCCGTTCCTTCGCTGCTTGACGTTTTCCCAATCCCACCAACGTTGACTTTTCTAACCTCTAGTCCTTAGGTGCCTTCCCTAAGATTCCCTGGTATTTTTTTTCATGCCAATCATGGCCTATTTACATGGTTTCCCGCGGCCTAAAGGGTAATGGGGGTGAGTTCAGATGTTGCTTTCCAGGTTTTCCCCTGTTGGTGCTTGCTT